CATTCGCCTTTTCATTCGACAAGTACAGCTCAATCAGCTTTAAAGGGGAATTGCATAAGTTTTCTCCAAGATGTTATCAACATAGCTACTACCTTACCACTAGATTTAGATGACCTATGTGATTCTCTAAAGATAATCTTTGTTGGATGTCGTCCTCCGCAACGAAACCAATTAAAAAATGTTTTAACTGTTCGGAAAAAGAAAGTTTTCGAAGCACTTCAATGGCTTAAACAGAATAATCCTTTGTATCGCAATGTTACAATTAATCAATCAATAATCAACAAATTACCTGACGATGATGTACCGGAGTGTTTGTGGACGACTATGGAAATTTCTACTAATGTAGAAGCACCTGAAAATGAAAGAGCAAGTTACATTCCTGATCCGTTGATCAATGCATCTGAATTTAACAATACAACAGCTATACCTATAATCTCAAGGTAAGACAAAGAGACATGTAGATATTTTTGCACTAATATTGTTTATGTTATAGTGCTGTGTTAGATGTCAATGGTACCAAAGTGTCGTCTGATGAAGTTGCTGAACATCTTTTAGAACGAATCAAAGCACAAGTGCCAGAAAAAACACACAGAAAAGACACCGAGCAAAACTCTAAACAAGACACTGTATACATAATTCCTCGTGGCAACAAACCGGCCAATGAATATTCTAATCCAAATCTTTTATTAGGAATCTTTCCCACCCTATTCCCATATGGATGTGGTGGACTTGAGGATGGTTCTCGACCGATTCAAATCAATTTTCGTGAGCATCTCAGATATCTTCTTTCGTATGCAGATCGCCGCTTTGAAGAACACTACTCATTTATATTCGTTGTCTTCAATATTTTACAACGCCGAACAGCATGTTTCCACGCCCATTTAATGACAACAAGATCGTGGTTTCAACAATCTGCACAAGCTCTTAGCTCATTGAGTTCTGAAGATGTAGCAGTAGCCCTTATTAATATCTCAAAAGCGCCTTATTCAAAAGTTACTGACGAGAGAATAAATACGTTGATGAAGCACATCAAAATTATTGGTGGTCACGTCATGGGTTCAGCTCATTCCCGATCAGCTCTTCGTACGAAAATTCATTCTTTATGTTTTTATCTTGGTCTTCCTAGCCTTTTCGTCACAATCAATCCGGCTGACATCCATAGTCCAGTGGCACTTTACTTTGGAGGTGTCGATCTCGATCTTGATAACGTTCTGCCAGAAGTCCTGCGTACAAGTTATGAGCGTGCTCAAATTGTTGCGACGCACCCTGTTGCAACTGCAAAGTTCTTCAACTGTTTAATAAAAAAAATTTTGAAAAGCCTAGTGGTCGGCGGTGTGCTCGGTCCCACAAAAGCGTATTTCGGCACTGTAGAGAGTCAAGGAAGAGGATCGCTCCATTTACATCTCTTGATTTGGCTCAATCATAAATATACTCCAGCTCAGCTGAAAGAAAATATTCAAAATCAAGATTTTCGTGAAAATTTACTAAAATATTTAGAAGATGTCATAAAAGAAGATTTAGATTCGTTTCGAGGTAATATATTTGACATTGTTTGAATCTGTGACTTGAAGTTTTTATATTCGCCCACTTGATACTGTTTTACACCCTGATAGTGTATCACTGCTTTGCCTTGAACTTGAGCTTCCGGAACATTTTCAATAATGCAAAACATTTCATTCGAATCACTTGTTCTTAATATATATTCATGAGACTTATATTTTTTGTACTTTTGAATATCAATATTCTTTTTTAAGATGAAACCAACGACGGAACAAGCACGACAAGTGACAGTAGAACATTAATTGGTGAGCTTTGAAGCTTTTAGTAGATCTTTAATTATAATTTTCACTTCATCCTAGGAGAAACTAGATCAACAGCAAGTGAAGTTATACCAGCATGTCTCCCAACACCAAATCCTGCATTGGAAGACTTTGATCAAACGTTTCGCAAAGATATAGTTCAATTGGTCGAAACCTGCAATATTCACAAGCATTCTGCAACTTGCTATAAATATTCTAAAGGCAAGAATGATAGTTCAAAAAGATGTCGAATGGGCATGCCACGCGCACTAATGCAGGTTTCTAATATTGACCTTACAACAGGTCAGATAACTATGCGTCGATCACATCCGTGGATCAATAACTTTAATGAATGGCTTTTAAGTGCGTGCCGATCGAACATGGACATTAAATTCATCTGGAGTGGTAACGACGCCAAAGCATTAGTCTATTATATAACTGACTACGTGACAAAATCTACTCTGGCCTTCTATGATATGTTTGCACTTGCACAACAAGGCATCAAATCTATCGAGCATGAACGAATTTCTAATAGCACAGATAATATTGTTGACAAATCGCGTAAACTAGTGTTACGCTGCTTCAATATGATTGCTTCACAACAGGAAGTTTCAGGTGTTCAAGTTGCGTCATACCTAATGAACTATGGTGACCACTATACTACACATACGTTCAAAAATCTTTTTCTTATTTCAATCGAAAACTATTTACAAACAGAGCTAAATAAAGCACGAATTAACGAAAAAGGAATTGTTGAAGAGAAAATAGATGGTAGAACTTTTTAAAATTATTGTATAGATTTTTAATATGTAGTTTTCTAGAGACTTCAACGCCTTTCTACGATGAACAAGGAGAAGATAAAAACGAAATTGAAGAACAATTTTTATTAGAACCTACAAAAACCAACAGCGGCGATCAGTATGTCTTGGTCAATACTCGTATTGAGTATCAACATCGATCGAAGGATCTGAGTGCATTGTGCTTATATGACTTTGTGAGCCATTTTCACAAGAAGGCTATCGACAAATCGGATCGTCATTTACTAAAGAATGTAACCGATTCTCAAGGCCAACAATTACCTACAGAAGGAACGAAAATGAATGAACGTCATACATTTGACAGCGCACATCCACAATCAACATCTCATCTCATAATTAAACGTTCCATTCCAGTAGTACCAGTTCTGATAGGTCCTCAAATACCCCGCCGCGAACGAGAAGAAACACAAGAACGTTATTGTCGCGCGTTGTTAACATTATTCGTGCCATGGCGATCAGTCCAGAACCTTTGTGCTACGAACGAGACATGGTCTGAAGCATTGGAAGCTCAAAGGTTATTGATCTCTCCCAACTCGCTTAAGATTATAGAAAATATAGAACTTTTGCACGCATGCAAACACGATCGAGATGAGCACCTTCATCAAGTTCTTTTAGAAGCCCAAAATGACAACAGCATTGACCATATTTTGATGCCTAACTACTACGAAGGCGAAGAAAATGCAGAAGAAGACGATCCTGAACAACTTTTGCATTTGATCTCCATTGTAAATGAGACTACCACAAACGCTTATTCTGCATTGACAGGTACTCAGGAACAACGCTATGTTCATGATGCATTACAAGCAATTAATAATACAGATAGATTTGCATTACTAAATGGTGAGTTAATTACTGTTATATTTCGAAAATATTTCGTTTTGATTTAGGCAGCAGACACATTTGGGACCAAAATAATTATGGCACCATACACGACGTCAACACATTTGTGGTAGCTCACGCGCATCACAGCGCCATGATTAAAGGATGGAAACGTGACATTGAGGGTCGACGAGATGAAGCAAGAAACTATTTAATTTCAGGTGAAGGTACTCTGGAAATACGAGATGATGAAACACAGATTGAAGCCGTAGCCACTGAAATTCCAACAAGTCCTATTAAAACGAGAGCTACAAGAGTTCCACCTGTAACTACAACCAATGCAATATTATTTCCAACAAAACAAGATATTATCAGACAATTTACACTAAATACTCAGCAAAAATATGTTTTCATGATTATAACTAGTCACTTAGATGGCGAAAATCATGCTTATACTGGTATATTTTCTTGATTTTGTTATTGAAAATTTTGAATAGTCTTGATATTTAGGTACTATCGATAATCAGTTATTAATGTGCATACCTGGTTGCGGTGGTACTGGAAAATCTCAGTTGATTCGTGCAATTACCAAGTATTTCCAAGTAACCAAGAGGAGCAAGATGTTGCGTAAACTGGCGCCAACGTCTATAGCAGCAGCTGAAATTGATGGATTAACTATCCATTCATTTTTAGGTGAAAGTCGCAAAAACACTAAAAAGAAACAAACCCGTACATTTAGACCTGGCGATACGAAATTGGAAAATGAATGGCGTCATGTGAAGTACTTGATAATCGATGAGATGAGCATGGTAGGACTTAGTCTCTTAGCTCGTCTAAATCGAATAGTGAAAACAGCGAAGCACATAAATTCTGAGATACCTTTTGGTGGTGTCAATGTCATTTTCTTCGGCGACTACCTTCAATATTCTCCTGTTTTGGACAAGCCTCTCTACTATAGCTGCGCATCGACACAGCAAATTACAGAACGTCAGATAGATATGTTGTGTGCACAGAAGCTTAT